GTTCTTTTCGGTTTGCCGATGGAGCAGAGAATTGGAGTTTCGCTATTTCGAAGAGCACCGTGTCCTCCAAGCCGTTCGATTTCTTTTTCTAGATAGAATCCACACGCGGGTACATGTACGTCTGTTGTCTCCGCTCCATCTGCAGTCGGAACCAGCCACAGTATGGTTCTCTGGTTTCCGCGATAGGTTGTAGAAGCAAATTTCCAACAAATGTATTCGCCAGGAAGCATATCGAATATACGTGTTGTTTCGTTGGCTTTGGTTGGATTCGTTTCTTCTATTACCTTTCGGTGTAATCTTTCGAGATCTTGCACTGCAGATTCTGTAGCAAGTGCTCGGCGAACAGATTCTTCCATAGCATCTGGCAACGATACGACAGACACTGGATTCCAATAGATCGGAACACCATTTTCGGTTTCGAAACTCCTGCTAGGCTCTACGCAGAAAGAAATTGTTCCATACGGAGTCCAATACGTAGTTCATCCCCACCTATCGCATTTCTCTTCCGCAAACTTGTTGCATGCGGAGAGAATTCGTTCTAGACCTTTGTTTGCCCAAACTGCAATTGGTTCGCTTTCGTTTTTCACAACTACTCTATAGGAAGTCTTGCTGGAGTCCCATTTGGATTTCTGTATACGCCACCCGAGAACGGAATAGTTTTTTTCCCCTGAAAGGCAAGACAGGCTGATTGTGCTGGGAAGGGAGAGACCATGTTCGGCCATTTCCCTGCTTTTCGAAATCTCTGCATAGCGTTTTTGGCAGCGACGATCTCTTTGAGGCGATGGACTTCCTCTGTTCGTTTTTCTTCGTTCTGTTTGTATTCCTCTCGCATCGACTCTAGACGATTCCATGCCATTCTTCTGCATTGGCAGAATGCAAAATCTCTTCCAATCGTCTTTCGAGATCTCTCGTCGACCCGCACAGTATAGTGAGACCTACTACGATTTCCTCGCACCTCCTCTATCCTCGTATTTCGAAGTTTCTATGCCGATGGCGTTTTTAGGCTTTTTTGGGCGCCATTCGAAAGCAACACGTTTGTTCGGGGGTAGCATCATATCTGGATTTGAACCTTGGGGATGTAGCTGTGTCGGCCTACGACTTCAAGATAGTATAGTTCTCGTATGGGGAGCTTTTGTGTAGCATCATAGTGGGCCTATTTCCACTCCTCTAGCTGTGGCAGCCAAAATGTCTACTTGGAATAGAGGACACGCTCGGAATCCGAAATCGGCTGTAACCCATTCTACAGCGTGGTCCCATCTAGCATCGTCTTCCACGTTGGCTTTGGTTGGTTGTACTTGGATTCCGGATACTCTTCCCGTGCCCGTGTGTGCATACCAGCCCACGAAGATGGTCCCCTGGGGTCTGTCTGCAAGCACAATGCAACAGTTTAGACATTTCGATAGATTCTCCCACTGTTTTGCTGGTGGTTGTACTATGAATAGGTTTTCCCACGAGAACAACCCTAGTGCTTCGTCCACCAAGTCGTTGGCCATTGTGGTGTTGGTTCTATGCGCATACAACCTCTAGCCAGGACATCTGGATGGAGAAAGGTTTTCCGCAGGTGTTCGTTGGAACAATCCGCATAGTCGGCCAAATGGCCACCGATGTGTTCTCGTACTTCTCCCGCTTCGAAATTGGAAACTACTTTGTTGTAGATTTTTGTTTGCATGGTATAGCCATTCCAGGTTCCAACCCAAGTACAGACGTGGTTGCCTACACTTCTTGTATTGTCCAGGATGGTGGGTCCCTCGCAGTCCATGGCAGTTGCAAGATCTCTTTGGTTTCGAAAAGTCGGTATCCTTTGAGGTATTCCACGAGACACTTTCTATCTAGGGTGCCGGAGAAATCCCTCGTATAGTCGATAGAATACAGGCCATAGCCATGTGCCAATAGAAATCGTCTGAATTTGGAAATATTGGCTTGTATTTGTTCCATAGGTATTTCGAGACATCTACTTTGCCACAAATATTCCAAATATCGGGTCGCCTCTACGCAGTAGAGATTCCCATTGTATCTTTTGCCGCAGAATTGGTTTCTTTCTCGATTCTTCATACAGTGCCCGTGCATTGCAGAGGGGCATCTATGGTATATTGTAGTGTATGTACGATTTTGGTTTGCACGTAGCCTTCCTCTTGCTCAAAAGATTCGCTGCACTGCACTCGCTATATTGGAAACTACAATAGATGCTGTTCCTTTTTCTCCGATGGTGCAATACACGGCTCCTTTTCTATAGACACAGTCTTTTCGCCAAAGATAGCCAAATACGTATATATCGTCCACAAATGTAGGTAGGCCTTCCAGTGGTTGGAGGTTTGTTTTGCCAAGATGGCCATCGAGATAGTCTACACGGACAATGTCCGGGAGAAGATTGCTTCCCACGGTATTTTCCAGTAGGAGGTGGTATGCCACTGCTTTTTCAACTCGCAAGCCCATATTTTCGAAAGTTGCTTCGGTTGCCATATTTCTTGAAATGCAATAGGTTGCTGTATACATGCTTGGGCACCAAATGTCTAAATGGAAAATCTCGAAATGTTGGGCTTTTTTGGTTCCATTGCATTGGGGTTGCCGAAACTCATGGTACCCTACAGATTTTAAGGCTCCTATAAGTCTGCTATCGGCGAAGACGAGAAAAAAAAGTACATAGAACAAGGAGTGCGAAACATTAAACTGTTTCACACGTCACAGCGACACTATTATGTCACGTGGGGCCGGGAAGTTAATTGGGGGCTCAAAAGTAGTAGATATACTGGGGCGAGATCTAATGGCCTGACAAAAAGCTTTATTTGTGAAATAAAGCTTTGCAGAGGCTTTTGTTGGACTTGGTCTCGGACTATCATTATATCTACTACTATTCCCCTCATAAAAATTAAAGGTGCACATGAAAGAAGTTTTCAGAACAATATCTAGAAGCACTCAAACAACGCCCTGTAGTATTTCAATGGCGGATCAGATCAGATCAGCGATATGTCATATTTTTCACACACCTCAAATACATCCTAACAATTTTAAAAGTTATAAAGTTATTAAACTATCACTATTACCTGCAAACACCTTTCAACTAAAGGTATATTTTCCTTCTAAAAATTAAAGCTGTATGTGAAAGAAGTTTTTAGCTATAGATTTAGTCTTTCTTCGCTGTGTACCGAGAATTGAAACTTTACTACAAATCTACTGTACTAATACTTACAATAATAACAAGTAGTTGACTCACAAAATGAAGTGACAGAATAGGTAACTTATCTTCTACATGTAGGTTTTCAGCTGTCACAACACTCAGCGAATGTAATCAGCTGTTGAAAATAAACCGGGCTCAATCTTTTAAACCAAGCTGCCGCCATATTGGCTACACTGGTCACGTGACGAGCCGAGGCATACGCTAAGGGGCTTTCCGAGGAGTGACCACTCCCCCTTATATAGTCCCCCTGAGCAGTCTTACGAATTTGCGGATAAGCTACGGTTATAATGAGACATGGCATAGAACCATCGGTATGCCACCTTCTAAAGTGACTAATGACAAGGAAACCACTAATTGGTGGCATATGTACTGGCCCAAGAAAGGTGTTGTGAAAAAGACTAAATCATTTCGTTTTAAAGTCATCTCAGGAACATCTTTAGCAGAGAATACGACGAAAAATGGACTGGGGACAATTTCACCATTTATCAGAGAATCTTTAGAGGTGGACGACCAGTGTATAGAGTCAAGGATTATAGTAGTGACGAAATCCAGGACACCTTCTACCAATCCGAATTACAGAAAGTAGATGTCAGAGAAAACGATACCTGGAAGGTGGTAGAAGTTTTGAAGACCAGAGGAAAAGGCCATAACAAACAATATTTTGTGAAATGGTTACACTCGGCCTAAGAAGTTTAATTCATGGATTAAAGCTTCCGATGTAGAGAGACTGTGAATGTAAATGTTAATAAAACATAGATTGTAAGGGTGGCTTGGGATGGCACTGACCCAAGTCCATTCGGCATGCACGGGGATATTAAATAATGTGTATAGAACTTGCATATTGTCGTTGTTTATTTCCCCTCTATAGATTTGCATTTGCGCACGCACGTGTCATTACACAAACGGACGACTTGAGTTTTTTCATCATGGCGTCGGCCCACGCTTATAAAGGACGCGAGCTATGACCTAGTTTCACGCATGGGAGGGAGGGGATTCCCCTCGTGACGTCAGCCTAATGGGTAGCCTCCTCACATTCAGGGAGGCTACCAAATCTCTATGGAAGATTACATGCAGTTGTCCTCATACCCTTAGTTTGCTAACTACTAAGGTCGGTAGGCCACGTGTCACGACACCCCTGCGAAGACCGACATCTGCGCACTTCCACCTATATATATACTTGTTTCCTAACTGTGACGTCATCGGCAATGACGGGTTTGAATCATCATGTCAGCAGATGGACTGTGTCCAGACGACTACGTCATCGAGGCATCAGATGTCAGCGACCTCTACGTGGCATCAAGTTGACTCCTCAACATCGTCCCAACAGGTTGCGATGGGCAAGAAACGTTAGGCGTCTTATTCACCGAAGAAAGTCGATTTGCACTATTCAGATCAGATGGCAGAGCACGGGTGTACTGACGGAGAGAGGGACGGTATGCACCTGTCCACGCCTTTGGTGGAGGTGGAGTCACTGTTTGGGGCAGCATTTGTGGCCAGGAGAAGACGATACTACAAATCGTTCATGAAAACATCAATGCTGTTTATTACAGGGATAACATCTTAAGGCCATTAGCCATACCATTCTTCCGTCAACGTCCCCAAACAAGCCTCCTGCAACACGACAACGCAAGACCACATGTCGCACGCCATGTCCATGGCTACCTTAAACAGCAGAACAATCTTAGGAGTATAGAAAAGAAAGGAGACAGGATACTTACACGCATCAAGGGGCTCAAATCTGTTGCCACATTGAACCATGCTGTAGTGCTCACATCTGTGTGTGTCAGGGTTGTACAGTTGTGGGTAGCGACATTCTCGTAGATTCTTTTCAATGAAGGAGAAGTCGGCGATATTGAGGCGGAGCGCTGCAGTTGTAGTACCTGGCACAATTAGTGGGGTAGGGTATCAGCGTCTCCGCTGTCGTCTTGCAAATGGGGTTCACGTCGCTTGTTGGGGCAATCAGAGCCGATGCTGGAATGAGTTGTGAGGGACAAGATAAATACCAGTTTGTAAATGAAGATTCTGAAATCCACTTCACCTCTTCTTGCCACTGGGACCCTGGAACTCTCACAACCTATTTCCTCTCGCCATCACTGCACCCTCTCGCACTGACCGCACCCTCTCGCCATCACTGCACCCCTCGACCTCACTGCACCCTCTCGACCTCACTGCACCCCTCGACCTCACTGCACCCTCTCGACCTCACTGCACACCTCTCGCACTCACCGCAGCCCTGTCGACCTCACCGCACCCCTCCTCGACCTCACGTCACCCCTCTCGACATCACTGCACCCTCTCGCACTCACTGCACCCTTGTCGACCTCACTGCACCCTCTCGATCTCACCGCACCCCTCTCGACCTCACTGCACACCTCTCTCGCACTCACCGCACCCCTGTTGACCCTCACTGCACCCCTCTCGACCTCACTTCACCCCTCTCGGACATCACTGCACCCTCTCGCACTCACCGCACCCGTGTGAACCTCACTGCACCCCTCTCGACCTCACCGCACCCCTCCCGACATCACTGCACCCTCTCGCACTCACCGCACCCCCCAGTCGACCTCACTGCACCCTCTCGCCATCACTGTACCCTCTCGACCCTCACTCGCAACCCTCTCGACATCACCGCACCCTCCTCGACATCACTGCACCCTCTTGACCTCACTGCACCCTCTCGACATCGCTGCACCCCTCTCGCACTCACTGCACCCCTCTCGCCATCACTGCACCCTCTCGCACTCACCGCACCCTCTCGCCATCACCGCACCCTCCTCGACCTCACTGCACCCTCTCGACCTCACTGCACCCTCTTGACCTCTCACTTCACCCTCTCGACCTCACTGCACCCCTTCTCGACCTCACCGCACCCCTCTCGACCTCACTTCACCCTCTCGCCATCACCGCACCCTCTCGACCTCACTGCACCCTCCTCTGACCTCACCGCACCCCTCTCGACCTCACTTCACCCCTCTCGACATCACTGCACCCTCTCGACATCACCGCACCCCTCCTCGACCTCACCGCACCCCTCTCGACCTCACTGCACCCTCTCGACATCACCGCACCCTCTCGACATCACTGCACCCCCTCGATATAACCGCACTCCTCCTCGACATCACTGCACCCCCTCAGGCCCCACCGCACCCTCCTCGAAATTACTGCACCCCTCTCGACCTCATTGCACCCCTACCCAACCCCCTCTACATCACTGCACCCTCTCGAAGTAAGGATGTTTAAAGTTATAGACAAGATATTTTTTCGAAACTGTTGTAAATGTGACGGACGGTACCTATCGTAACTTTCACAGAGAATACATTTCAGTGCTGAAAACTGAAAAGCCGGGTGTTTCCCCAATGACGTAACGGAATTTATGATTACGTTGTGTGGTCACGTCATTTAGACTCGGGGCGGTTGGTTAGCCTTGTGGTTCGTCACGCCGAAGACACGGGTCCGATTACCCACATAGGTACTATGCGTGAAGGCAATTTCTGGTGTCCCCGCCGTGATATTGCTTGAACATTGCTAAAAGCGGCTTAAAACCACACTCACTCACTGGTGAAGACCCGTCTGCCTGAGAGACTTTCCGAACAATGCTACATCTATGCTTCATGTTGACGTTTTGCTTATGTTAAAATATCTCTCATCCCTCTCCCCCGCTAAGCTCCTCACAACTCCACACTATTCCACGCTCTCCCACACTCTCCACTCCGCTACTCTCTGACTAAGGGTAGCAGAGTAGTTAAACCATTCCCTCGTCGCATCAAAGTCCCTGGTTTGATTCTCCACAGCCGCCCTAACGAACCTCATCTAACCTCCCTTACCTCGGTCAAGTACAACGCAGAAAACGACAAAAAACATTATACACACAGCACTCGACACAACACAAACAGACACATAATGTACACAGTAATCCACACCGCATGCGATACAGATAGCAAACGCAATTGAGCACAAAGAACATATAACCAAAAGACACGCACCACAACACACACAGCTCATTGAAAAGCCTGCTTACATGATTCAAGGGCGATCAGAATCGCCATCGTCAGCGCTGTCAGCAAGCAAAACATCCGACACGCAAACATCCGGGGTTGTAGATGAAATTCAAAGTCCCTGAAATATACATATGCGTGAATAGGTTAGGAACTGATCTGGACTTGTATCTCAACTGATCTCAACTGATCTAGACAATTTGTTTGTTTGTTGCTTAACGCCACACTCAGCAATATTCCAGCTATATGGCGGCGGTCTGTAAATAATCGAGTCAGGACCAGACAATCCAGTGATCCTGCAGCATGAAAATCGATCTGCGCAATTGGAATGCGACTACACGTGTCAACCAAGTCAGCAAGCCTGACCACCCAATCCCGTTAGATGCCTCTCCGAAAAGCATGGGTTACTGAAAAACCCCGATCTTCACTGGGTCCGAAACAAACTGGTGTTAGTATCAGGGTATTTTAAAGCAGACATATTAGTGTTTTTCTATGACATGCAAACGGATTATTAGGATGGATTTCTCTCTGGCCTTTCCTATGATCTACTCTGTCTGCTCTTCTCGACGGCCTTCTCTATGGTCTTCTCTAATGTTCTACCGCTCCCGACAAAGATCAGCTTTATACATTGTACATACCTTTCAGAACCGAAGCCAACAAGGCGAACAGATACGTAGTAATTACTATACTTATTGTATCATGCCCCTAATGTATTGGCGGATTTAGATTAAAAGAAGTATCAAGCATATTTCCTCCCTCAGACACTTACAATTTCAAGAAAACGTTTTCGTTCATATTAAAAAAATTATTTAATAATCAAAGGCATACCCCCAAATGTATTTTCGATGAAACAATATACACCAATAAAGATATATAGAACGAATGTAGTCTCACCTTAAGTGCTTTAAGTGCCACTGGGTGGGGGCTTGAGGGAGCACGAAGAATATACAGTTTCTCTAATCAGAATCTGTACAATATGGAATGACTGGTGCACAATATCTTTGAATGGGAAATGCATGTGCTTATCTTAACAGATATTTTCTTTTATGCATAAGCCCGTTTTAACTGGTTGTAAAGGTTCCATTGTACATATACGCAGTGAAACACATGTATACCAACTCTCACATACGCACGCGCACGGAACTTCCTATGCATACACACATACACACATATTATTATACGTTTACCAATCATGTTCAAGATCTTCCAAGGTCTGGCAGACCCTGTAGGACAACAGTAAAAGAGGATAGAGCATTGTTGAGTCATGGGACTCAAGCACATCGTTAAGGCTACAGTTCTTACCGGGAAGGGCTATTTCTTTGCATGGTACTCAGGAATCGATTGAAAGCAGCAGGATACAGGACCAGAAGACCCATCAAGAGCATAAAACTGTCTCCAGCTTACAAAACAGCACGACTTGTCTGGTTGCAATTAACCTGTTCGCTGGAACATTGTATCATGGCGGAGGGTTTACTTTTCCGAGGGGGCGGTGGGTAGCCTAATGGTTAAAGCGTTGGATCGTCACGCTGAAGACCCGGGTCTTCGAATCCCCACATGGGTACAATGTGTGAAGCCCATTTCTGGTGTCCCCGTCGTCGATGTTGCTGGAATATTGCAAAAGCGGCGTAAAACCAAACTCAGTCAGTCAGTCAGCACTTTTCCGAAAAGTGTCGCTTCATATTGCATATAGTGGATGGTCGTACAAAGGGAGACAAAGGAACACAGAATCCAGGAGAAGGTTCCCTTTGGGAGGGGTCAATCTTGGGATGGGGATGCATTTTCTTTGGGTTGCAAGTGTTGAATTCATTAAAGTCTATATTCTCTGTATTTCACATAGTACAACGCTAAACATACTGTCCTGCTAGCTGGCCCCAAGTTCACCCTTCTTGCGCTCAGTCAATCACCCAGCAAATCCACTTCCGTGCGCAGATCTTTGCTCAATGTCACTTCCATGCGCAGAGGGCACCACCAACCTAGCAAACGATATATTATCTGAACATACAATATATTTTCTCTTACAGGTAAACATGGAATGCTCAGTATCAAATGGGTTGGAAACATGTTTTGGGATTATTTAAATTATATTTTAAAAGAATATGTACACAAAGCAAAATGACCTCATTACCTTCCGTGGTAACCGTGGTGGGCCTCGCTATCAACAGGATATCCTTGAGAGGGTTGTAGTCCCATATTTTGATAACCATCCTCTAGCCACTAGACCCGTCTTTATGGATGACAAAATTCCAGGCCTCGCAGAGCTCGTGTGTTGTCAAACAGCTCTTGCAACAGAATGTTGTTGAGACCACCCCCATGGTCAGCCATGAGTCTAGATCTCTATCCTATCTCTGGGACATTCTAGGCCGTTGTGTTCGATAGAGAGACTCGTCACAGACCCGTAGTGACTGCCGAACAGTTATCGCCAATATATCAGTATCACACGTGCGCAGTTCATGTCAATTACAATTCCCGTATTTTGTCCTCACGGTATTTGACAACAATAAAGGACAGCAAAAGAAAATTCTTCACGGTAAGTAACAAAAGAGAAAAAATTAAGATAAAATTATGAACCCTATTAAATTTTTTTAACTTAGTTGGGGGGATGTCCCACGATCTATATAATAGCAAGTTCAAGTTCACAAATCATTAATTTTTTCATTCCCTATCAATCTTCTGCTGTAAAGGAAATACCAAATAGTCACACAATCAATTATTCGAGGTTACTCCCATGATATAAATTTATATTATTTCACGAATGGCATGGCAATTTCTGAAACGGCGATAACTGTTACAGTTAGTTGTGAGAAAACACCTATTTGTACTGTCATTTGTTTCCTTCCGCCGCGCATAATAACACGATCGGCGGCAGTGAACAGGCTGGACACATCGGCGCATAGCTAATTAAGTATCCTAATTCTGTTTCATTAATTTAACGAACGGCAGAGTAATTTTGCGAATACCGCTAAAATATGGCGATAACTGTTCGGCAGCCAGTAGTGAATTGACTTCTGCTTTGGTATGAGGAATTGAATAGGATGCGTCAGAATCAAATCCAGAGATGGATCCAAGGAATGAGGAGGAAAGAAAGTCAGTATTTGTTTTGGTAAGACAATATTCCTCAATTCCGTGATCAAGATGTGTGCATGGTACTGACAGTTAAATCTGTGGAAGAAAAGTGACGTTGGTAATGTTTTTGCAGGAATGACGTTTATTTTCAAAAACTGTACCATTTTCAAATAAACCAGATTATGTCATAGTAATCTAGGTTGTTTCTCCTCAACACTTTACACTACATAATTCATTTGGTATGGACATTCTTGACACATTTCATGCACCAAATTATTACAGTTGCTCAGTCTGAGAATATACGGGTGTTGCTTAATTAATGTCCTTATGTATATATTAGTTTCAGAGATTACGTAATTGAACGATATCAAATCATCAATAGAACTTGATCCAACTAACCCACTCAGCCACGGGCTTCCACTGACATTGTGTGCAGGCGACTAGGTGCCTGACTCTGAGATTGTGGGTCTCGAATCCCGGAAGGGACTCAACCTAACAAAAGTATCAGAACCTGTACTTTACTGAAAAGTGTAATCCCAAATATGACATGTAATGTTACATTTGAACACCTTCTAAATGTCATTGTAATTTCATATTACTCTTTGTACAGACTTTGATTTGGCGCTTTGGAATCCAATACAAAGATGATTGGACACATGGTGGAATCAAGTCTCAAGTCGAATTACTAGGGCAAGGTTCGAGCAGATTTCTTCTACAGTTGGCATGTATCAGGCAGTATGTGATATGTCACCTAGCCGTTTCCTTAAACTCTGTAATGGTTATTTCATGTGAGGCCTAGTTAGTGGGAACGACTACAATAAAAGGTATGTAGGGCAGCGGACTTTGGATAACAGTCCGGGGACAACAGGGTTTCTTGCAATTATGTGTCCTCCTTTAAGTTTGTGTGTTCTACCAATGATTACACCATGGGGTGACTTAAAACGTTCATGGTTTTCAGTTGTTGTCATCAATTATCTGGAATTCTGTTTACAACCAATGATCAACACCAAGTATAAACTCATATATGAATAAGTTGTCTTGCACATAGCAGGAACATGCATGGCTTGTGTGTGTGTAGGTAGGTACGTGGGTCTTTGTGTGGAGGTGCTTGTGGTAGTTATGAGATACGCTTCGCGGTTGTTGGACGATGAATACGCAGTTCCCGAACCACAGCCCTTATCAGACAGGGAAGAACAAGGGTAATTGTTGCACAGTGAAGGGTATATTGTTCATTGTATTGTTCACTTGTCGTCGAAGTAATTGAACTGAGTGAGTGAGTGAGTTTAGTTTTACGCCGCACTCAGCAATATTCCAGCTATATGGCGGCGGTCTGTAAATAATCGGGTCTGGACCATTATCCAGTCCATGATTAACATCATGAGCATCGATCTACGCAATTGGAAACCGATGACATGTGTCAACCAAGTCAGCGAGCCTCGTACCACCTTCGATCCCATTAGTTGCCTCTTACGACAAGCATGGGTTACTGAAGATCAATTCAACCCGATCTTCACGGGCAGTAACTCACAATTCACAACCTCTTAATGATTTCAAATCAACCTTTGTTAAAATAGATATCATAACAAATACCAAAATTTGACTCATCTATAGCTAAACTGGTATAACCATTTTCTTGTGTTTTTTGTCAACAATTGACTTGCCATTGCTTGTGTTCGTGACATGTGCCACTTGATCACCGCTATCTGATGCTGATTCATAAACATCTTCTTTGTCGCTCATTTTGAAATTTTGAAATGTTCAAATGTCATGCGCGTCCACCATCGTTTGGATGATGTCTGCTCTGGACAAATGGATATATTCCAATTTTGCTTCCTCCTTTTCAATTTCTGCATTCTTCCTTGTTATGGATTAAGGTGAGGTGAGGTAAAATTGGGTTTTACGTCGTGCTTGAGAATATTTCGCTCATATGACGACGTACATGAGTGTGAATGTGTATGTGCGGCTGCTTGTACTAGCTGGTTTTATAGTGCTAGCCCACTGAGATACCACGCCGCAGTGAAGCATGAATACCCCGCTCAGACACATTATACTGACTCCGAGCCGACCAGTCCTTGTTGTACCCATTAATGTCGAGCGCCAGGCAGGGACCAACAAGTACCATATTTTAACGTCTTTTGGTATGACGCGGTCGGGGATCGAACCCGCGACGTTCCGCTCTCCGGGCGGACGCTCTAACCACTACACCACGGAGGCGGTCTTATGGATCAAGAGTGAGTGTGTGAGTATGCTTTTCACGACCAAAACAATAGATGCGGACAAATGTGTTGAAGTTAAAGTCCTTGTTGTGGATTAAGAGTGAATTTAGTTTTGCGCCGCATTTCGCAATATTCCCGCAATATCATGGCGGGGACACCAGGAATGGGCTTCATCTGGGAAGTCCAACCCGAATCACTGGGCTATCCCAAAGGGCAGAAAAAGGTAAGCGGATCCGGGGTTTGTCTCTGATGTTGCATTCTATCCCTAGAAGATGCTTCTGACGATGACGTTAAATTATCCCAGACTGTGTGGATGGACGTTATACAGTCCAGTGGCCAACTACTTCAGCTCTGATTATTTTGAAAGAGTAAAATACATTGATGACACTGTTCCGATCCTACTAAAGAGCGTTTAGCCAAAGGGGTAATTGCTCTCAGTGGTAATGGCAAGAGAACTGCTGTCCACTTTCAGGCAACAAATTTACTGACTTTTTTAAGTTTCTAGTCCTAGAGGATCCTATAAGGCAGGATATGACCCTATCTTCTGTGATCTATTCATACAAATATTACCACTCTGTTGCCTTTTAGGGGCGGTGGGTAGCCCAGTTGTTACAGCGTTCGCTCGTCACGCCGAAGACCCGGGTCTGATTCCCCACATGGTTACAGGTGCATACCCGCTTCGCCTAAATTTCCTTCTAAATTTTTCCCACATCGCCTACTGAGCAGACATATCAGAACGCCTAATATCTATAAACACTGAACCATGGAGTCTCACTGGAACAGGCTAAGTTCCCAAGTGGGGTGTCCTTCTCCCAGCACTCCATTATTTCTAGCTAAAGAAGTTACGTAGCTTCTTTATGTGACTTTGAGATGAATTTAAATCAGGATATGTGGAAATATATAAGTACACAGGTTATGTTTACCATTTTTTTTTTTTTTTTTTTTTTTATTTATTTATTTTTTTTATTTTTTTTTTATTTATTTATTTTTTTTTTTTATTTCATTTATCCCAGCACTCCATTAATTAGAACAACATAAATTAAAGCTAAAGAAGTTAAGTAGCCTGGAACTTCTCTGTGAAGCGGACACTCTATATGCAGATGGGACATTCTACTCGCCCAAACTGTTCCTGCAGACGTATACCAATTTCACGCCGAAGTACAATAGTTCGTGTATCCTCTTGTATACACGCTACTGCCCAACAAGTCCCAGGAAACATACACCACAGCATTCCAGTTGTTGAGGGCTGAGACAGAGCGACTTCATCTGCATCTCCAGCCACAGATTCTGCAGATAGACTTTGAGAAAGCCACAGTCGCAAATGCTGCCCATGCTGTCTTCGATGGAGTAGAAATCCGTGGCTGCTACTTCCACTACGCCCAAGCATTATGGAGGAAGATTCAGACTCTTGACTAACATCCCGCTACAAGGAGGATGCCGACTTCAAGCAACTGGCCCTTAGAGCAAAGACCCTCCCACTTGCACCCCTCAATCAAGTAGACAATGTTGGACAGACGCTATTACCAAGAAGCACCCATGGATGAGACATGTACGAAGTTTATAGACTATATAACTTTGACCTGGGTAGATAGATGAGGGCCTGTGGAATGGAACCACTTTGTCAACGTGACGGCCATACAGAACAAATAAGAACCCTTTGAAGGCTGGCACTCTAGGCTAAACTCCTGACATCCTGCAATCCCAACATTTATGCTTTTGTGAAACTGATTAAGAGGGAGCAGTCAAGTCAAGACTTGCCCAACAACATGGTCACCAACGTGAGCCAAAGAGGAAAGAGGAAGTATATTGTTGTGGGACAACCGATTGAGACGTGCAAAAGATTGACTGGTTGACTGGTTTGCAGGCGAAATCGAAGTGATGCATTACACACACCTGTTGCTCACCTTCTTGGTGATTGGGAGTGAATGTGACTGAATGTATGACATGAGTATGACATGTGTTAATGACTGAAACTGATTGTTGTATAACTCATCTGTTATTGTGATTGAGTGGGACATGTGTAATGATATGTTAATGATGTGTATAAAGTATTAAATATATATAAAGGTCACTTGCATTTTTTCATTCTTTGAACACCCTCTTATCACTACATGGACTCTCCCAATCCCACTTCGCCTTCTCCTTAGGCGTCATCCAGGCGTTACATGCACATTGCCTGAAAGATTTTCCGTACCTAATGGGTTAAAATTAGGCGAAGTGGGATGACGCCCTGGGTACAATGTGGGAGCCCATTTTCTGGTGTTCCCCGCCGTGATATTGCTGGAATATTGCTAAATGCGGCGTAAAACTAAACTCACTCACACTGCTGCCTTTTACACCCTATGGAATCTGTTTCATCAGATAATCGAGACTGAACAGTGCTATCTGGTCTTTCCTTGCAATATGTCCACCTTATGACTCCAGGAGTCAGGTTTAGTTTTCTAAACCCTATATTTACCCCTTTGGCGATACATTTTGCCCATGCGTTGTTAACAATCTTTAATTTCCTTTTTCAAAGCAATTTAGATTTACGAGCACCTGTAGGCACGGGATGTTTTGCGTCAAAGACAGGTGTCCCCGTTCCAAGATCGGGACACTTGCCCGTGTAGACCAGTCTCTGATTGACGCATACAACGAAGAAGGCGGTGTTGAGGCGATTTTCGTAGACGTTGAGGGCCTGTCGGGGAGGAACTCTGCAGGTGGGGTTGTTGACAGAAACATGGTGGCCCACAGCTGACCGATCCAAGACACGCGTGCTGGGCATAATCACCTGGAAACAAAGTGTCAGATCCTGCTACAGTTGTCAACACACCATTAATAAAAAGGTTCTCCCAGCTACGATTGTCAACACACCAATAACAAGAAGGTTCCTCTCCTGCAGTTGTCAACATACCAATAACTAGAAGAAGTTCTCCCAGCTACAGTTATCAACACACCAATAACTAGAAGGTTCTCCCTGCTACAGTTGTCAACACACCAAATAACTAGAAGGTTCTCCCTGCTACTGTTGTCACCACACCAATAACTAGAAGGTTATCCCTGCTACAGTTGTCAACACACCAATAAGAAGACGCAGATCCTCCCTGCTAGCAGTTGTCAACACACCAATAACTAGAAGGTTCTCCCCTGCTACAGCTGTCAACACACCAATAACTAGAAGGTTCTCCCCCTGCTACAGTTGTCAACACACCAATAAGAAGACGGTCCTCCTGCTAAGCAGTTGTCAACACACCAATAACTAGAAGGTTCTCCTGCTACAGTTGTCAACACACCAATAACTAGAAGGTTCTCCCTGCTACAGTTGTCAACACACCAATAACAATAAGGTTCTCCCTGCTACAGTTGTCAACACACCAATAAGAAGACGGTTCTCCTGCTACAGTTGTCAACACACCAATAACTAGAAGGTTCTCTGCTAAGCAGTTATCAACACACCAATAACTAGAAGGTTCTCCCTGCTACAGTTGTCAACACACCAATAACTAGAAGGTTCTCCCTGCTACAGTTGTCAACACACCAATAACTAGAAGGTTCTCCCTGCTACAGTTGTCAACACACCAATAAGAAGACGGTCCTCCTGCTACAGTTGTCAACACACCAATAACAAGAAGGTTCTCCCTCCTACACCATCAACATACCAATAACAAGAAGGTTCTCCCTGCTACAGTTGTCAACACACCAATAACAAGAAGGTCCTCCCCTGCTACAGTTGTCAACACACCAATAACTAGAAGGTCCTCCCTGCTACAGTTGTCAACACACCAATACCTAGAAGGTTCTCCCTGCTACAGTTGTCAACACACCAATAACTAGAAGGTTCTCCCTGCTACAATTGTCAACACACCAATAACAATAAGGTTCACCTGCTACAGTTGTCAACAGACCAATAACAATAAGGTTCACCTGCTACAGTTGTCAACAGACCAATAACAATAAGGTTCACCTGCTACAGTTGTCAACAGACCAATAACAATAAGGTTCTCCCTGCTACAGCTGTCAACACACCAATAACAAAAAGGTTCACCTGCTACAGTTGTCAACAGACCAATAACAATAAGGTTCTCCTGCTATAGATGACAAGAAGTTTCTCAGGATGTGTTCAGCGCAGTTTGTCACAGCTTGAAAACAAAATATCAACTACAATGTATATTCTGTAATACTCAAATCCTGCCAATTCCCATTGACCGGTTCTGAGGTTTTGGTATAATAATGTTTTAACTGGGTGATGGATTGGACAGAAGTTTGTGTGGTGTTTCAGCGTTTTATCCATTGAACAGCAAAGTGAGTGTGCGAGTTAAGTTTTACGCCGCGTTTAGCAATATTCCCGCAAAAGTGGGTTTCACACATTGTACCCATGTATGGAATCGAACCCGGTCTTCGGCGTGACGAGCGAACGCTTTAACTACTAGGCTACCCCTGTACAGCAAAGATGTAAATAAAAGATTGTTTTCAGCAAAGAATGGACTTGAAATATTCAAATCGAAAATGTTCATACAAGAAATTAATAATTTCATAATCACAAGTTCGTTTAGTTTTATGATATAATGTCATATAAGATATCATTTCATTCTACTGCGAACCAAGTCATCAGAATGTGTGGCAGAACTAATTTTGAAGACCAATATTACATTCTTCTCACACACATTATGCAGATCTAAGGAGTCATAATATTGAGTCATAATATTCAATCTTAAGGAGTCATAATATTCAATCTTAAAGAGTCATAATATTCAATCTAAATATACGTCCTGTCCATCTGTTAACAAATTATTATGTCGACAGAAAATGTCCATCTTCTACAGAATGTGGCTACACTTATATACGGCGCACTGTCAACGCATATACCACTCACCAATTTCTTGTACTACTGGCCTGTACATTTCAGAAATAAATAGATACTAGTAGTTCTAGTTTTCTGATCATGCATTACTAAGAGTTATGAGGATATTCGTATATTGTACTTTGACAAAAAGTCTAAAGAACCTTGTAATATACTGTCCATTACAGTGAAAGAGTGGACAGCTCAAGCAACAGTGAGTGCGTTTAGTTTTTCGCCGTTTTTCAGCAATATTCCAGCTATATGGCGGCTGTATGTAAATAATCGAGTCTGGACCAGACAAAACAGTGATCAACAGCATGAGCATTGATCTACGCAACTGTTGATACGATGACATGTGTCAACCAATCCAGCGAGCCTGACACCCGATCCTGTTAGTCGCCTCTTACAGCAAGCATGGGTTACTGAAGATCACTGCTAACCCGGATCTTCACGGGTTCTCAAACAACAGAATCACTTAGGACCTATCTGGTTCAACTACATGTTATGTTATGTTTGAAGTACCTTAAATACAGATTCAACAATGGTTGTCTTCAAATAATCTCCACCAAAATAATCATCTATTTCACCTGATTTAGACTATTAATAAATTCATGTTCGGAGCATGTCCAACAGCCACAGAGAACCGACATTCTAGACAAATATTGGATAGGTGAAGTCATGAACATAAGGCTACGCAAACCTTTCGAGTATATATGTTCTGCTGCTATCTGGAAATACCCAAACCAGAAGCTCTCAGTCTTTGGATAAAGGTGTCAACAAATACAATTGATTATACATGTATTTGTCTTAATACAGTTGGCACTATTTTATTTTCTGGGGAAAGGTGACTTTTCTTCAGACAGTGTCCATTTTAATGTTGAACACTCAACACTAAATATAAACTTGTTTGATTAAAATGTGACTTGACCAAGACTCTCTTGCCGCCTTGAGACAATATTCCAGCTAGTCCGACCAGAAAAATCTCGTGATCAACATCATGAGCATCAAACTACGCGATTAAGATATGATGACATGAGTTAACAAGTCAGCGAGACTGACCACCCGATCCCGTTAGTCGCCTTTTACGACAAGTATGGGTTGCTTAAGACAAATTTCTAACCCGGAGTTTCACGGGTCTGAAAAGAAGGGGTGGCAAAGGATACTTACAATACCCAAGGGTTCATATTTGGTGCCACATTGGACCATGCTGTAGTGCCTACATCGCTGGGTGTCGGGGTTGTACAGTTGTGGGTAGTCACATTCCTGTAGGCTCTTTTGTATGATGTAGCGGTTGAATGTCATCCCGGGCGCTGCAGTTGTAGTACTGGGCGCAGTTAAGGGGTGGGGATCAGCGTCTCCGTCGTCGTGTTGCAAATGGGGTTCACGTGCAGCTTGTTGGTGCAACTCAATGCTGATGCTGGAAATGAGTGGAAAGTGACAGCTTAATAGTTGTGAGTGAGTTTAGTAATTTCACCTTTTTCCGCCTACTATCTCTCGCCCTGATTACACAATGCCAAATAAGTACACAAAGCCCGCAGTCTAGACTCACCAGTTGTCCGACTTCCATTTTTGTGGAAGTCGCGGTAGCTGAGCGGGTTAGGCGGCTGACTTTTATGTGCTGGCGATTAGTTGCCTCGACTCTGAGGGTGTGAGTTCGAATCCCCGGATGGGGCTCAACTCAAAAAGTACAAGAATTTGTACTTTACTATCAAGTGTATTCCCAAATATAACACATGGTACGTCTCTCGCCCACTCCCTGCACCCCCTCTCCATTCTGACCTCTTCACCGTCTCTCTCATATCCCTCGACACATCACTTTCTCTTACATCTGTTCCATCATCCCTGCATAAAAGCGATGTTAACGCTACAACTCTCTTAAGTCCATATTAAAAGCATTGGAGTTACGATTATGGTAGAGCTAAGATCGCTTTGAACAAGTGGACCTAGCACCTAGATTTTCGAAACGATCTTAGCTGCGACTACTTTTAGGAAATTAGGTTAAAAGAAATGATATCTAACGTTAGAGATAAGATATATTTTTCTAAACCTGTCGCAGATCTTACAAAGATACTTGATTACATCATGTAGTCCATCATTTAGACCCGTCTATCTGACAGATTTTCCGAACAAGGTTACATATATGCTACCTGTATACGTTTTGTACTTCTGTACAGATACAACACACAGGAGAACCGCACGTCACATTACACAACACACACACACAATGCGCGAGAACAACACACGTACACCAAACACAAAACTCTGCAACAACATCATTATAAAGTTGAAGGCGCTAAGCTTACATGATTCCAGGGCTATCAGGAACGCCATCAGCAAGCAGAACATCCGACACCACACATCATCGGGCTGTAGATGAGATCCAAAGTCCTCCTAAGATAAACGTTATGCATTAATAGGTTAGAGCTGATCTGTACTTGATAAAACGAAAATTTTCAGTCTTCTCTCTGAAACAGATTGGTGTCACTATCCGGAATTACATTAACACAGTAACCCATTTGATTTTTGTACATGATATGCAAATGACCGCTTAGAATGGATTTCAGAAGAGAGAAAGTTTGAATATGACCCCAATTACTTCCGACATCAATAGTGGTGCACAGGGTTGTGTACTGTACACTAGGGTTGTGACAACACTGAAAGAGTCTGCACACAAAGTTGACTCCAAGGTTTTCAACACCCAGTCACAAGTGGGCTCCCCGCACCTCAAGCTCGTTGGATCACTAGCCTGGCGCTTTAGCCAGCTCGCCCACCGCGCCCCAATGTCCAAGTTTAAATATCCTAATGACAAATGTCCCAGTTTAAATGTCGTAATGTCCCAGTTTTAATGTCGTAATGTCCCAGTTTTTAATGTCGTAATGTCCTATGTGTCCCAGCTTCTAAGTGTCTTAATGTCCCAGTTTTTAATGTCGTAATGTCCCTATGTCCCAGTTTAAGTGTCTTAATGTCCCACTTTTAAATATCCTAATGTGCCAATGTCCCAGTTTAAATGTCGTAATGTCCCAGTTTCTAAATGTCATAAATGACCCAGTTTAAATGTCATAATGGCCCAATGTTCATGTTTAATATCCCAATGTAGCAGTGTCCCAGTTTAAATGACCTATCATGTGCCAATGTCCCAGTTTAAATGTCCCAGTGTCCCAGTTGACTTCATATTCGGTCAGTCTTGAGGCTATCTTGATCATTGAGGGCAGACGGCTTTTGCAAAGGTCCCGCCAATGCAACTCTACACATAGGGTCAGCCATAAACACGTGTTTACCTTTCAGGCCCAAGTTGATGAGTGAATACAGATGTAGTAAATGTATTCATTTCATACCTTCTAATACAGGCGAATTTTGATTGCTCATCACTACAGCTGTGACGATATATCGTAGTATCGATAATCGTGATACTTTATCTCACGATAAATATGTCGATACTTTTGTTCGTATCGTTATGTATCGTTGGACCTTTAAAATTGTTAATGTTCACTAGAAATTGACTGTTATGTAAAAATGTACACTGTTACTTGCTATCAAAATAGACTTTTGTGAAAGAAAATAACGAAAGATATACATATCGTTACGTACATCGAATCGAATTGCATCGTTCCAAGATATCGCGATACGTACCGTATTGTGACATTTCCGTATCGTCACACCTCTTACCCATCACTAATTTCCAGCATCAGACTCTTGCTGAGACCCGTAAAGATCCGTTAGAGGGTTTGTTGGTTGACATTACGTCATCGGTTCCCTCATTGCGTAGATCGATGCTCATGTCATCAAGTTCCCGATTGCGTGATCGATGCCTGCGTCACGTCGGTTCCCAATTGCGTAGATCGATACTCATGATGTCAAAATTGCTGAGTGCGGCGTTGAACAATATACGCTACATACAAAACAAATTTTCCTTGATGATTACATTATTGATTATTATATATTAAAACCTGATGTATTTTCAGTCTGATAACTAAAAAGTCTTCGTCCCAATTTGAAAAGACTTACATACATCATTAATATTATAAGCAGTCTGATATATAGAAAGAAACTATAAACTCACCTTAAAGAAATACTGGAGTGGGTGACTTGTGGGAGCTGTGAAGACTAGGCAGCGTCTTTATCAGTTTCTGCAATCCCCTAATCAGAATCCCTAGAATATGGAATCACTGGTGCACAATAAAGTACCTAATCTTACTCAGCTGCCTCGGAGTGTCATTTGTCTTGGTCAGCCCATTTTAATGTAGTATCTACATGTAGAAATTCGCATATGGTTATCTTAGCAACAGTTGGTTTCCTTTAATTCGTACGCCTGTATTAACTCTTTTGTGGTTGAAGGATTCTGGTGTGCATACACACACATGCCCGCACGCATAGGGCACTGGAGCGCGCACGCACACACACACAGAGGCAGGCAGGCATGCACCTATACACGACCTGCCTCATTCTTGCATCATATACATACAGTCAAAGTCCATTGTTTCATTGAGCTCTTTACAGGTCTTTTTTGGAATGCAACAATTAGAACCACTCCAGCTACACTTCAATAACTTTAACGAAAGGATCACAGTGATTTAGATATCATGAACACCCATCTACCGGTGACAATGCAATCAGCGACTGAACACTGGAAGGTCAATATAGCTTTAATGCTGTATCTCCTGCTTGTGTAATGTGAGCATGCAGTTGATCAGGACTTGTCAGACACACCTTTTCAGTTTCAGGACAAGTATCCCGCTTAGTGTTGGCACAATCTGTATCGTTACCAGCTTCTATAATTAACGGGGTCGGTAAAATTCCTTGTGGTTGAAGCGTTCACTCGTCACGCAGGACGACCCGGGTTCGACTCACTCACTCACCACTCCACATTAACGAAGCGTTATCTATGAGGTGTTAATCAAAGCTGGAGAGTTTGTCATACAGATTCTGAAACAAATACATGTATACGCATGGGGAAATATAATGCAACAAAGAGGGATGGTCATCAAAATGTGGTGCTGCCGAACCCGTTTGTCCGTTGTCCATTCAGATTTTGCCCGATCATGAGAAAGGTCAAGTTTACAGTCATGCGAGAGGAGACACACCCCATCAATGAATTCCCGCCAAATGATACTTGCTCCAAGATAATAATCCGTTGAGCTATTGCAGTATTTGCAAACACGCGCGTCATGGCTATCGTCTTTCGTCTAATTAGAAGGATTACAGATTGAAATACAAACAAACGGTAGCTGATGCACCGTCTGCATTGGGACTTACAATCGCGTACATTGTACACATATAACTGATACGGGCAATTCTGCAAGTGTTTTTATTCAGGGCTTTGTATTGTAACATATACTTCAACATTGTTCTACAAAGTGCAAGTTTAAATTCATAAATAGAAGTAATATTCATGGTACTGACGCACAACACATCAGTACCCTAAAATCCAAATTAGGCCGCTAATCAGTTACATATCTGATTGAACACCCGAGAAACTTGAATGCTTAAACTTGGATATAGTTGGTGAATTGTAGCTCTAGTCTGGTTGGAATATGTAAGCAACGTTAACTAATTACGCGATCCCATGGCGAGAATCACGGCTAAATAAGCAGCGTAATCAACTGGCGAAAGAGGAAGTTCCGTAACAGTACCAACTGCAAGAAAACTGAGAAGGTTCTTGATCTTCAAAGCAGTCTTCAAGCAGTGATCTCAACGCACATTCTCTTGACTTTGTCGAAGATCTGTGGTCCGTGTTCCCTGTGAACATTACGCCCGAATACACCATCCGCTTCGCCCAAAACACACGGGCGAAGTAAGAGAACGAGATCCCCACCCACTCGTTCAAGCCGTCAAAGACCTGCAACCGGGTAGTCAAATAGCAGGGTCTTCTGCTAGAGCAGCCCGCACCAGTTCCGCGGTAGTCGCCTGCCTGTATATTGAGAGCGGCGAGTGAATGCTCTAGTTTAACGCTGCTTGAAAATTTCATTTACGTGTTGTACGCTTGATACGGGGAGGAAATCCCGGAAATAATGCACGTCTTGATGTTTACCACCTTGGATATAACGTAAGAAAACACCAGGCATCGACACAGAGCACTTGCCGGGCCTATTAAGTCGCTAACCCTAAGGAACGGAGCATCCTTTAACATTCCAGCCACAAAGTGGTGTATCTGGTATGACCAAACTTTGACAGTAAGCACCCGGACTGAGAAGAGATGCTGAAACTGGTTTTCTTACTGTCATTTGACCATATAATTATCCAAGTCACACATTCTTTTAATCTTTAACCCGACACAGGCTTAAATGTCCATGGCTTCAATTCACTGCTATCGTACAAGGTACCGCTTTCATGCAGAGGTTGCTCTTAAACATACCGGTTTCGCAACACCACACTGAGCGGTAGGCTCTAAAACTCCTGTCGCCACAGTCGACCATGGTGTAGTGTCACAACGTCGTATGACGCCGTGGCTGAGGGTAGACACTCCCCTCAGATGTTCAGGCCAGTAGCATTCCTGCTTGACGCGGAACAGTTGGAAGCACTAAAGTACAGCGGTGGGCGTGAATCAGGGCAGCAGACTCAAGTGGGACAGTTACTTCTGTCTCCTCTCTGTCTCTGTACCGCGAACGATATGTTTTATATGGAACTGTAAGCATTTTAGAATTTGACCTGACCTGGAGTTGATTTGATTTGACGGATTTAATATGCAATTTTGGCAGCGCTTTACTTGGTGATATGAATTCTGAACAAAGGTGATTCCTGGATTTAATTCAATTAATTTTAATTTCAATTTAATTTTAATTTTAATTTTAATCTTTAATTTTAATTTTAATTTAATTTATAATGGGTTTCGACTCAACATGAATTCTAAATAAAGGTGGATTCCCTATTCTGGATACCCATGGTCTACAGATTTCAAAGCAACTGACTAACGAGGTTTCCCAGAATATGAGTATGTCTCAACACTATAACTTCTGTGATGACATGTCTGTCGCTAAAGCCCTACTAAATGGCGAAATCTGTTGAACGGTTATGCAGCAGCTTCGCCGCTCTGAGCCCACGTTTTGGGAATAAACAGAGGAGTCAGGGCTTGGGGTAAAAACGGTTTCCGGATGGTCAAAGTTATAGACTAACGAGATTTTCATAATAATGATTTCTGGACAAGCATCGACTAGACTAGACAGGTCTTCACTACTCAATGGATACAAGCTTTCTTTTGGGGCTCTCACCGCTGACAAAAATAATTCAAGACTTGAAGAGGAGCCAATCCTTCCAACACTGCCAATTATAAATGCGTTCGTTTTTCTGTGGAAAATACACTTTTAGCCTTGGAGTGACGTAACAATAATTGTCCATTTCAAACTAATTATTCGACCGATTTTGCTCTTCGACCTCAGGCTGATGTTCCAAGTTAATGCTGAAACCTTCAAATTTGTTTCGACGTAGGTCCTGGTGTGAGCGAGCTTCCTAAACAGCTTCCAAGGGGAACGGAAACAGAACCAAATTCCTACCTGCAGAATGCTTGACAACCTGAGATCATAATGTGAGAGTGGGATATGGAATTTATTCATTTTAAAGCAATATTCAGGGATACCTAAAATGGGCTTCACATATTGTGCCCATGTGTTCCCTGAATCCAGACCTTAGGCTTGACGAGAGAACGCTGTATCCGCATCCGGCTACCTCCACCACCTGAATGATAGGAGCTTAATAATTTACAGCTGTCGTAGATGGATCCAGGGATGCATTGGCGTGTTTGGGTCCGGGTTGATCGAACATCGAGGTTTGAACAGCCATATTTTGCGCTGCTATTATTTATATCGAAAATAATACACCAAACAGCCGGATCTGTTCTGTGAAGTCCGGGCTGGTTGTAGCCACACAACTACCCACAGGTGTTGATGTTGTTGTTATGGCCAGAAGGCAAGGAGTACAATTCGAAATGCTTATTGAAATAGGAAACTAGAGACACGATTACCGTAACGGTTTATAATGAAAGCTCACTAGGTTTTACAATTGTCTTGTATATACCTCGTGAATTTGATCTGGATGATATAATACGTATTTATACATTACCCAAATGAAACGCCCATGAGACATACAGAAATCGGACTTGTTTAGCGACGTCATTGCCTTCGAAGCGGTTTGTTTCCCAAACAGTCGGATTGGCTATGCGGTGGGTTCGCTTTCTTTGCGTGACGTCACGCGTCATCTGGTCATAAATCAGCAAACTAGCTGCCCGCTTGTCCAACGTCACACCAAAGGATTGGCTAGGATACAATGGGGGCGGATATATCATATCATTATCATAATACATCATATCTCTGGCGACATGTTTATTAGGAACACATGAAATACATACCTGTTGTTACGAGTTGCTCGAGTGCTCTCATCAACTGTTCACAGTGTTTTTTGTTTGAATGTTTAGGTTAAGTTTTCGTACATTCTTAAAACATAGTGAAGTATAGAAACATACTCTCCCAAAATAGAAACGCATCATGAAAATAGCAATTTACGTAGCAGTGAATTCAAAAACGTGATTCATTTTCGTAGGTTTTGTTCTGTTTCTGAGTCCTATGGTGTTTATGTTTTGAACATCACAACAAAAACGCACCACCGTACAATACCCGTATTTAACAGCATGATTTTCACTCGGCGTGTAGTGTCACACAATTCACAAGCAATGCACGCGAAAAGTTGGGGACTGCATAGTCTCAACATGGGTATAGTGCGGTTGATCGCTGTCTGTCGATTGTTCACTGTATTTGGAATATTGTTGACGAACGCAAATGCTACGCTCCAGCGGAAGCCAAACGTCACATCGCTGCTGGCTGGCTGAAGCCAGTCTCAACGCAGTTGCCTACCGCATGAAGGTTCACCAAAGCACCATTTCACGGCTCTGGGAGATATCGTCGGCAGAATGCGGGTAAGCAGATGCCCCTCGTAGTGACTCCCGAGCGACCACTGCGGCGCAGGATCGCTACATCTGCATACCGCCCGCGTCATCGAATGTTACGGCGGACCAGTACCCGCCCTCTCCGACAAATACCCGGATTGAGGAGGCTTTCTGCACAGACCGTCAGGAACAGGTTTGAGAGAGGCCGGTTTACGCCGTGAAGACCTTATTTTGGTCCTGTGCTTCGACAACAACATCGTCGACATCGAGTTCAATGGTGCACCAACGTTCAGGCCTGGAACCTACCGAATTGGCGTAGAATCCGGTCTGCGGGATGAATCACGATTTCTATTGGA